TCCTTCAAACTGAACAGTAAAGTTATTGCACCAATTTTTTGGTTGTCCTTGGAATCTAAAAAGCAACAATGAACTGAAATACCAAGGGAAGCATCATAAAAAGAAATACACTATGCTGAGATACCACTAAAGCTTGTGGCTAGAGCTATATTTTTTCAGCTGAAGAGATTGTAAATCTTGAGTTGCCTGCTTTCTGAAGCCACCTTGAATAATCGGTCTCTTTAGGCCTTTCTACAATATCTCTGCTTAACTTGACCCTTTCAGAGAAAATACAACTCATCGAAAAGATGGCAAATATTTTTATTAAAAGATATATTTTGACAGTAGTATACATAGAGATTATTATTAAATTCCAAGCCATTTCAATATTCTAACCTACTTTTTAGTTTTTACTTTTTTAAAGCAAATTTTCTAACAAAAAAAATCTATTGGTTATCTGTCAACGGATCAGTTTCATACACTATTACATTTAGCACTGACACTAGCTTCTTGAAAACAGACTGAAGATTGGAAGCCCCAGAGATACTTGTCTCATTTACTGTTCACCAGTTAGGAAGAAGAAAAGTACTGGAGCTGTATAAGCAGCCCAGAGTGGGAAGGCACTTGGGGCATAATGAAGAGGATCCCCGATTTGGCGTGAGTTGATCTAGGCTTGAGCCCCAGCTTTGCCACTTTCTAACTCAGTATCAGTCATAGTTCCCTAAAATTATAAAATTATAAAATTAATTATAAAATTAGAATAATACCATGGAGGATTGTTATAAAGGTTCAGGGAAATAATGGTTATAAAAGTGCAATGTGAATTGTGATAGAGAAAGACAGATAGCTCTTACTGTTAACAGCTGTTGGTGGCCTGCAATCTTCATCTCAGATGAGCAGATGACACTTAGATTTGGAGCACAACTGAAAAGAAATCCATGTGGTGGACATAGTATATGACTTGCCCTTTAGATACACTGCCTAATAAAGAAAGTCTCTGGAGGCAGTAAGTTAAATCTTGATTGATTCTTAGGTGATAAAAGCGAGGTAAAGCAAGCTTATCTATACTGTACTATTTCATATACACATTGGAATCAAAGATTCCCAGTCTTTCACTCTCTTAACACCTATTTACTGGGGTCTAGTATATACACCCAAGCATTGTGCAATATCTTAGTAAACACTGGTTGACAAGATTTCTGCTTACAAAGATCTTAGTCACATTAATATCTTTATTCTAAGTATTTGACAAAGTGTCAGCACATGCTCACACTTTTAGATTCTCACTAGAAGTTGGTTGACTGAACGAATGTCTCTAATTTTGTAGCAATGCCATATCCAAAAACCAGTAAAGACAAATTATTATTATTATTATTATTTTTGTGAACAGAGATGTCTGAGATGTCTGCCCAATCATGTGATTAACCTAGTGGCACTTCAAAAAATTTGAGGGAAAAAAAACCTTTTAAAATAAAATTTATCTAGTCATTTACCTATAATGACATTTGTAGTGTTAACTTAATGTCTTTTTGTTTAAAATAATTATCATTTCCAAGCAGTATGGGGATACATGATTAATAGAACGTATTTTTTAAAAAGATTTATTTTTTTATGCTTATAAGAACTGGGGTACAAGCCAGAGGTGCAGGGCTTGAGGACTCACCAGAGACAGAGCAGGGAAACAGAACAGGCAGATTGACTAAAATATGCTGCAAAGGGGAGCTGTGGGCGGGTCAGGGGAGGACTGCCACGCCATGTAGGTCACCTCCTTGTCCGGGGATGGAAGCCATGCTGCAGTGGCTGTGGATAGCTTCATAGTGCTGTGCTTTAATCCACTGCACCACCAGGGAGAGCCCAGTAGAAAGTATTTTTAAGGTAACTTTTTTCTCTTATTAAAAAAAAAAAAGATTTATTTATTTATGCATACAGGAACTGGGGTATAGGCCAAAGATGTGGGAGATGAGAGGGTTCACTAGAGACAGAGTGGGGAGCAGAACAGGCAGATCCACTGAAATACACTGCTGAGGGAAGCAGTGGGAGAGACAAGAGAGCTCTGTTGCTCCATTTGGGCCACCTCCCTGGCCAGGGATGGAATCCGTATTGCAGTGGCTGAGGAAAGCTTCATAGTGTTGCGTTTTAACCCCCTGTGCTACTACGGCCCCACACCCTTTTTTTTAAAGGCATCTTTTATGTGAGGTAAAAAAATTAGCAAAAACAATGCAGTCTGGTTATGTCAAATCACTATTCCTCAATTAAGGACTTAATATGCAATTGAAACAAAGGTGAAGAATATGAACAGTCCATTATATTATAATCAACTCTTAACAAGTAAGTACAGAGAGTTTATTTTTTAAATTATAACTTTCTGGAAGCCACTAGAGAGTTAGTGCTATACTGTAAAACTTCATTTTTCATGTATCTAGAAGCTAACGGGTGGGGTGGAGGTGGCCAGCATTAGCATTGTCCAACAAGGTCCCCACTTTTACTTCTGAACTCCTTCAAAGACTCAGAGTCCTTGCAGATGGATCAGGCTATGCAACTAAGTTGGCTAGTAAAGTGTGATCAGTGAACTGTTTCCTTTCTAAGCTAAGTCTGAAAAGTTCACGGAGTTTTCTTCAGTTACTTTCTTTCTCTGCCACAGAAAATGAGTTGCTATGTTCTAGATGACACACATATAGGATACTAGACTCAATATGGTTCAGGAGTGACTGAAACGGAATTTTATCCACTGGAAGTATGAAGCATGGGCTAGCAATATACCTGGTAAGGCCTGGAGGTTTTGGATATATTTATTACATTATAACATACCCATTCCTAGTGTAGTCCAGGAAGGCCCATAGTACTCTTGATGCCAAGTTTTTGAATAAGAGATAAAAGAGCTAAAATGAGTTTCATTAATTTGTCAGTAGTGTCTTTCATATTAAGGATGTTAGCCTCAGGTCTAGTTTTTTAATCACATTTAAACCAGATATCCCGTAAGTTTTCCGTTTTCTACCAATTCTCCTGCGTATCTTTTTTAAGTACTATAACTTTCATCTATAAATCTACTGTACTTGCTACAAATGATCACTTTTTTCAACCTCAATTGAACTGCTTAATCTAATCATACATCATTATTTTCCTAAGCATTTTAACTGGAGCAAAAGGTTCTGAATTATGAACATCCTGTCTTTATTTAATTGAACTACATAGAAAGCTGTCTTGATGAAGGGAGAAATTCCTGCAACTGTACTATCTCTAGAAGGGAGAAGCAGGTGCATTCCTGATGATTTTATTTTATTTTTCACAGTGGAGAGTTTAACCTTGAAGGTCTTGTGGAATCTGAGAATTATTATCCCTTATTCAAACTACAGATAGTAGGCGAACATTTTCAAGTCACTGACAAAGAAGACTGCTTTGTTCTTGTTTACTTTAATGGATTATTAAGTAGGAATACATAATATGTATAAAGCCTGTCCTTTCTTTTCACCTGTCCAGAGCTATCCATCACAGTCCTATTAAATCCTAGTCCCTCAGGAAATCATCCTCGAGCACACCAGCTGGAATTGATCCTTTTCTTTCCAAATTCTGATGTAAATTCATATCATTTATTTGGCATTGCTGGTAGAGAATGCAGAATTGCAAAGAAATTAGAAATCATAGAATACAAACCTCTCATTTTGCAAAGGAGGAAAATAAAGTCCAGAGGAGTTATGCGATTCACTTAAATTACATGACACGCTTGAAGCTATAAACCTAATTTGCCCAATTCCCAGGGTAGTCCATTCCTTTATGCCACCACTACCTTTACATTTAGTATCTAGTATTGTTGGTATCTATTCAAGAGACGTTTCATCTCACCAACAGTATGATTTGAAGTCAGGGAACTCTTACATCTACAGCTTATAGTTAAAGCACGTTTTATCTAAGTTTTTTGTAGACTGTAATAATTACATTTATTTAATCTATTAATCTATCACCTTGTTATTACTTCACATTCCGAAGATAGCAACTTGAAAGGTCGAAGGAAGTATGGGGGTAAAAGTGCAGCAAGGTAAAATAATCGACCTCATTAGTACAATCAGGATGCTTACAGATGCCCAGCAATGACTCCTACAATTCAAGGTCACTCTCCTTGGAATGATCAGATCTTGCAGGTCCACTCTGCAAGAAGTGTATTGGCTGAAGGTGGTGGCGGAGTGCCGAAGTTCAGGTGAAGTTCTGGAGGTGAAAGCCTAAAGAATTTCCACCGGGTGGTTCGCGTGTAAGATCAGGAGGAAATTCGCGGGAGAACCGAAGTCGGAGCCCAAACCAGGCAACCACCCACGACACGCGATGAGCTCGCCAAGGCTGGCGCCGCAGCCTTAGAGGTGCGGGAGCCAGGAGATGGGAGCCGCGCGG